TCTTCCCTTCGGGTTGAATCTGGCACTTTGCATTTTCACACGCCTTACTCGGGTCATGGTGACCCGCCTGAGTCTGCTAGGTGTTTGGGTGCTGGCCTACCTCGACGGCTGACTGGTTTGGGCTCCCAGCCGGTCCGTGTGTCTGCTTGCCAGGGATTTGGTTCTTTCCCAGCTCGCTGGGTTCGGGTTCTTGGTGAACTGAAGGAAGTCCCATCTAGTTTCCTCTCAGGTTCGGTCTTGGCTGGGTCTGGTTTTGGACGCTTGCACTGCTTCCTTGTCTCTTCCTCCAGCAACTCTCTTGACCCTGCGGTCCCGCCTTCGCCCGTTTGAGGGGTTCCCGGGTCACGAGGTGGTTGCTCGAGAGTTTGTGCGGGAGCCTGAACTTTGCCATGGTGGTCTACCTGCCGGGTCGGGTGTGGCTTCGTTAGCTGTTCTGGTTCCTTCGGGGCCGGCCCTTCTGCCTCTCTCGCAATCATTCGGTTCGGCATCCGGGGGCTTTGCGTCGGTTGCTGCATCGCCGGCTTCCTCTTTGGGTTTTTCGGGGATCGGTGCCTTGGCACCTTCCCGAACCCTCGCTCAATGTGTTCACGGACTCGTTGTCTCTTGGCTGGGGTTTTGTGACCAGTGCTCACCAGGCCAGCCAGGGGCAGTGGGGTCCGTCCTTCCGTCGGGCTCACAGCATGGTACAAACGTTCGCGGCTGTGTGGATGTCGCTCCAGAGGATTCGAGTCGCTTGCGGATCGACAATCAGGCTCCAATCTGACTGCTCCCCGGTGGTTCATTGCCTGAACCGTGGGGGTTCGATGCGATCCTTGGCTCTTTGGGGCTGGTTGCTTCGAGTTACTCGTCTGCTGAGTTCTCGGGCTTTGGCTCTCCTGGCGGTTTGGACACTCGGGAGGTGTCCAACGTCCTGGCGAACGGCCTGTCCCGGTTCCTTCCCCCTTTCCACGGAATGGACGGTCAATGCCGACTCCTTCAGTTGGCTGTGCCAGATGTTCGGGACTCCGGACGTGGATCTCTTCGCATTGGCATGGTCGAGACATCTCCAGGTATACATGGCGCCCTTCCCTGACTGTGAGGCCATCAGGATCGACGCCTTCAGGCAGGACTGGGCGAGGTGGGGGTTACCTGTACCTCTTTCCCCCGATTCCGCTGTTGTTCCAGGTCCTGACTCGCTTGGAGACTTGCAGAGGTCAAGTTGTCCTCCTGGCTCCTTGGTGGCCGGCCCAGCCTTGGTTTCAGGCGCTGCTTGCTCGGTGTCCGAACCCGAGGGTCTTCCAGCGGCTCCGCCTCTTTCAGCAGATCGGTCCAACCCAGTACGAGGCTGGTTCAGTCTTCTCCTCGAGTCTTTACGTTTGGTGTTTTTGACTCGGGTTTATCATTTCTTGTATGGTGCGCAGGTGGCTTCATTGTTGGTCTCCCATCTGCGAGTTTTGTCTCAGCGGCAATATGAGGTTTCCTGGTGGTCCTTCCTGTTTTTCCTATCACTGCGTTGGTGTTCTTCGGTCTCTGATAGGGTTGTTCTGTCCTTTCTCTCTTGGTTGTTTCAGGACCGTCATCTTATGCCGAATACTGTTGCTTCGTATCATGCTGTGTTGGCGAAGCCGCTTCAGCTTACTTTCGGTGTTGATGTTACGTCTGCCCCGTTTCGCAAGTTGTCTCGTGCTTTGTTTCACCGGCCTGCTCATGCGCCGCCTGAGCTGTCTTGGTCCTTGGACTGAGTGCTCTCGTTTCTCTCTTTGCCTCAGTTTGTTGTGGCCCCTTCCGTTCGGGATTATTTTTCTAAGGCTCTTTTCCTATTGGCATTGGCCTGGGGGGGGGGGGGGTTGGAGTTGGAGCTTCATACTCTCTTCCGGCGCCGAAGTTTCTGCTCTTTTGGTCTTGGTGGTCGTTTTGTTCGCCTGCAGCCGTCTCCCTCTTTTCTATCGAAGAATGAGACGACTGCGTTCCAGAGGGATCAGTGGGTTGTTGATACTTGGTTGTTCAGGCCAGGGGGTGCATCATGTGTTGTGTCCGGTTGCAGCTCTCTGCCGTTGTTTGTGCACCACGGCTTCTGTTGCCGGGGATGCGCTCTGGGTTGATCCGGTTTCCCTTCTTCCCTGTTCCCAGGCTCGGGTCTCTCAGGTTGTCCGCAGGGTTATTAAGTGTAGCCAGCCTGCAGTTTTTCCCCGGGCCCATGACATTCGTAAATTTGCTGCTTTGGCTGCCGTCGTTGGCAACATGTCTTGGGTGGACATTCGGTCCCAGGGTTTTTGGAGATCGAACAGGGTCCTGACCGCTCGCTACCTGGTGAATGTTCCTGGGCCTGGTCAGGCCTGCGTTGCTTTGGGTCGGCGGTTGCAGCTAGTTGTCTCGACTTCGCGTTGAGGAGTGAGGACGGACCGCCTCCCGGGTAAGTCACTTTTTTTTCCTTATCTTTGGGTAGTTAGCTCCGGGGAGCCGACGGGGCTCCCTCCAGAAAATCAGCGTTGAATATAATGAAGCTCCATTTTCTGGGTGAGTCCCAGAGGCTCCCCGGCATCCCTCCCTCCCTCCCAGTCGGCGGCGTTTTTGCATTTTTTGACATCCACCCTAAGAACTAACGGTTGGGTCGCCGACAGTGGGGTCTGGGGCTCCCCCCTCCCCTCCAGGAGAGGGGGAGGGGTTGCACAGACAGTGGCATAGCGACATGATGATGTCATGCTTGTTTGCTAATTTTCGTTTGGGGAGTTCTGTCCACCTGTTCGGTCTTCGATCACAATAATTTAACAGAATAGGGGTTTATTTTGGGGCGCCTACCTTTCTGGGTGCCTATCCCGGTCGATGGCAGACATAAAATGCTCCCAGTCATAATGGGGGTCTGTATAGGCCATTGCTCCTCATGCCTCTCTAGAGGGAATCAGATTCTTGCCCGGTAGGCAAGAACTCCATGCATTGCCTGATGCCAGAAAGTTATACATATCCATTCAGCCTGGATAGCTCCGGGGAACCTCTGGGACTCACCCAGAAAATGGCATTTCATTACATTCAACGCTGATTTTTTCAATCCTGAAAAGCCTTTAATAGTCATGATCATTTGAGAAGTTCATGTAGATTGTCTCATTGTCACTTTTTGCTTGCCACTTTACCATAAATGTTTGTATCGTCTGCAAACTTTACATTTGCAATCGGATATTAGTAAGTTGGAGGCTCCTTGCAGTTGACAATTTACTTCTATGTGGGGAGCCCCTACGGCTCCCTGGAGCTTATTGGGCTAATGTACTTTACATTAAACCTGGACATTAGCTATGGAGTTCAGACCTCCCAGGGACCAGAGCCAGAACCTGGTCCCTTCAGAGAGGTTTCAGGGAGCAATGGCCCTGGAAAACTTCCCTGTGGTTGGGGATTTTTCTTATCTGCCATCGACCGGGGTTAGGCACCCAGAAAGGTAGGCATAACAAAACAAACCTCACATGGTAAGAAACTAAAACAAAAAATCCCGAGTCTCATTACCAAATAAACCCTGTGCCGAATCCGAAATCGTCAGACATTTTGGAGCCAGACACGAGGGGGAAGGTGCAGGGTGAACCACAGGGGAAGGACCAGGGAGCGCGGACGGAACCAAAGTCGAAGCGACTAACGCTCCCAGGTCCCTAAAACCAAAGAGGGGCAGCTGCGGGGCATCCGGGTGGGAAACCAACCTAGCGCGTTGCAGTAACCTAAACCTAACATGCAATGTGGATGCTGTCTGTACCCTAACAGCGACATCATCAGAATAAAACTGGAGCACAAGCAGAGAACACGTCTCGCAACACTCCGGGTCAAAGATGTCATTGACCCAACAGGCAGCATGACGGAGATAAAACATGTGACTGTCACCCTGAGACAAGGGCACGCAGCAACCTTCAAACCCACACAAGGCAGGCTGGAACTCGGGAGACGCATCCATTGGTCCCTTGAGCCCCGACAGTTTTCCTGGGCCCATAGGGTAACAACTACAGGAAGCCCGGGCAAGGTGTTGCTAACCGGTTAAACACCCAAACTAACAAGGGGTAGATGACAACACTGAAACCCCTGCGATGTGTACAAGCACGGGGGCCTAGCAGAGAGCCACCAAAACAATATCGGGGAACTATTGTCCTACTAGGCAGACCCCCACCTGGAAAACAAAAATAAAACAAAAAAGAAACCCCCCGCAAAAGTACACCGTCCCCAGAGGCAACAGGAACCGGTCGCCGTGTAGGTGGCAGGTCGCACAACACCTTGACGCCCTAACCAGCACAACACCACTCCCTACCCAAGGCCAAACAAGGGCCCCAAGGGCAAGGCAAATGCCAAGCAGCAAGAACCCCTACGGGAGCAGTTCCCGAACGCCCCAGGGGAGATAACCCTGACAAGCAGGGGCAGTAGTCACAGGGTGCTTAGGGGGCTAACCTTCCCTAAGCGCATGCACTCCCGGCACTGATGAGGTCCTCCTGGCCACCACACACCACAACAAGACAGCAGAGAACACCACACAGGCAAACGCCGCCCAGGAATTTGAGGCCAGAGAAGCATCTGTCCCGGTTGACACTAGCTTACGAACTGGAGTGCTAGGCAGTTGGCGTGGTGAGGTCCGCCCCCCCCCCCTTCCCCCTCTCAGGGAGGGAAAGGCTGCATGGACGAGCAGTGCGGCAGTAAAGTGAGATGTTTGCTTGTTTCCTTGGGAATGTAGGCAGTTTCTACCTCTCTGTTTTTTGTTTTAGTTTCTTACCATGTGGGGTTTTTGTTTTGTTATGCCAACCTTTCTGGGCGTCTAACCCCTGTTGATGGCAGATGAGGAAAAACCCCAACCACGGAGTTTTCCAGGGCCATTGCTCCCTGAAACCTCTCTGAAGGGGCCAGGTTCTGGCTCTGGTCCCTGGTAGGTCTGAACTCCATAGCTAATGTCCCGGTCTAATATAAAGTACATTAGCCCAGTAAGCTCCAGGGAGCCTCTGGGGCTCACCAAGACAATGGCGTTTCATTACATTTGATGATGTTTTTTTTTTTTGTTTTTTCAGGGATACCAATCTGGTGAGCACGACTGAGAATGTAGCTGTTGTGATATTTGAAGGCATTAAAGACCATTTGCCTGATCATGTGGTTTTACATGAAATTAAAATTCATGAGACTGACAAAAACATTGTGGTCTTCAGAGGAAGCTACAAATAAATAGCCTCTACTTTTTTTTTTATTAGATTTATGCTTCCATCCATTTAGAAACGGTGCAAATATACTTATAACAGATGCTGTACGCTACTACTGGCATGTCTTTACAGATTGAGGGTATGCTTGTTTGTTAATTAAGTCCAGGTTTTGTGGAATTAGTAATCTTTTATAAAGTCCTTGTTTAATAGTGCTTACAGCTACACTTCAGGTTTATTTTGAAATGCCTGGAGCTCTCCATATCTACATTACTCACTACATACTGTATATCTACTTCATATCTAGCTGGCAGTTATCCTAAATTGCTTCTCCTTTCATCACATAAGGCTAAAAGGCTTTCGAAAGAGTTCCACATAAGAGGTTGTTCTGGAAACTGGAACATATTGGAGGAGTGACAGGTAAGCTTCTAACATGGATGAAAAAATTTCAGATAAAAATGAGTAATCAGAAGCAATGTATCAGACTGGAGAAATTGTCACGAGTGGAGTATCACAGGGTACAGTTCTTGCAACGGTAATGTTCATTGTCTACGTGAACGATCACCCCAGGTGGAATACAGAATTATATGAACATGTTTGTGAATGATTATAAGATAAAAGGGAAGATAAGAAACTTAAATGATTGTCATGCCCTTCAAGAAAACCTGGACAAAATAAGTATATGGAGGACAACTTGGCAAATGGAATTTTATGTGAATAAATGCCATGTTATGTAATGTAGAATAGGAAAAAAATAGACCCCAGACAACCTATAAATTATGTTAAAAGAATCTTTAACAAATTCTAATAATGAGATCTAGGGATGGTTCTAGATAGAAAACTATTACCTGAGAAGCACACAAAAAACATTGTATGAGGAGCCTATGCTACACTTTCCTATTTCAGAATAACTTTTAAATACATGGAGGGTGAAATACTAAAGAAAGTGTTCACGACTTTTGTTAGACCAAAGCTGGAATATGCAGCGGTTGTATGGTGCCCATATCTTAAGAAGCACATCAACAAACTGGAAAAGGTGCAACGACATGCCACTAAGTGGCTCCCAGAACTGAAGGACAAGAGCTACGAGGAGAGGTTAAAGGCATTAAATATGTCAAAACTAGAAGGTAGAAGAAAGAGGCAATATGATCACTACGTTTAAAATAGTAACAGGAATCGATAAAATTGATAGGGAAGAATTCCTGAGACCTGGAACTTCAAGAACAAGGGGGCGTAGATTTAAACTAAAGAAACAAAGCTGCTGGAGAAATATAAGAAAATTCACTTTTGTAAACAGAGCAGTTGGAACAAGTTAGGTGAAAGGGTGGTGAAGACAAAAACCATCAGCAGATTTTAAAGCGTTAAATGACAGAGTGTTAGGAAGACAGGACACCACAAACGTAGCTCTCATCCTGTGACTACACTCGGGTAATTACACTTGGGTAATTACTATTTGAATTAGACTCACTTACAATGCTTTCATTCTTGGGGCTTGTATTCCATGCATCTCCTGACTAGCCAAGATGACCAACATCTATAGCAGGTTACCTCTCTTCCTCCTCAGTGATGCCATGGTTATTATGTCACCTTCACACGACAGACACATCACTCCACAGTCGGCATCAGCACAATAGGATGGACTATTAATTGGATGGATGGAGATTGTGTAGGAACCAACGTTGTTGCTCCCAATCTCAAAAGTTGTTCCTAATATCTGGTTCATGTTTTGACAGTGATGGCATTTGGCATCCTGTGACCAAAGCCAACAGGAAGAACCACTCCATTATGATCTATCGAGAAAATAGGCCTCTACCGATGAGCATTTCAACTACCCAGACAAAATCTGTACTGTCAGTCTTCAAGGTGCAACTTGCTGAAGGCAAGTCCTCATGTGCCACTGTAGTGAACCTTAAAAAAAAAAAAAAAAGAGTACCCCAGCTCAAGATCAGAGCAAAGCCAAACCTCAGAGGTGAATATATTCTGAAGCCCAAAGATGAGACAGCTGTAATGATTCTTAAAAATTACAGGAAATACGCAGAACTCAAGCCAGAAGACAAAAAGAGGAAACTATTGTCCACTACCCATTGCACTTGGCCCTAAAGCATTTCAAAAAGCTGAATTATGTGGTATCAGCAGAAAGATGCCAGGTTAAATCCACGAAACAGGAAACCCGACAAGTCCTCACAGTAAAAGGACAGATTCCAGAAAAGATTGATCTTGGAATTTGGGGCGTATTCCAACACAGGCCTTCCACACCAGAGCCCGTCAGATGCTTCAGATGTCAGAGATTTGGATGTCACAGGGATGGCTACCAACGCCCAGTGAGGTGTGGAGTCTGCAGCCAGCCCCCACGACACGAAAATATGCCACAAGGCAAACAGCCCGTCCAAGCTAAGTGCCCAAATTGCTCCATGGCACACCACGCCTGGAACTTAAGATGCCCCGAAAGGCTTAAAAGGATCCAAACAGCCCCCCCCCCCTCACACACCTACAGCAGAGCAGAAGCCCCAACCAAAACATATACCAGCTCCCCTGCCCACAAAAACAGCTTGGAGCTTGCCAAAACTAAACCAGGTGGACGGGGCACATAGCTCTCCACCATCAGCCATGGTGGAGGGTGTGAAGGCCTCTCTCCAGGACAGAGGGATGGCTGAGAGGGCTACAAGAAAATAGTTCAATGTAATCGCCCGCCCGTTGCAACCACTAAGCACATTGGGGCAATGATGGCAAGAGTGTCCGAGTTTCTACTGATAAGTGCCTGTGACATTAATCTGAAAATAGAGCATTGACTATTCTGGCTGGTGTTGTTCCAATCAAAAATAAAGTAAATAAGACTGCTTCTGACCGCTTTACTGTGTGAGAGTTGCGGGTAATACAAAGAGAATAAACACGTAAAACATTTAATATAATAAAAATGACTTTAATAACAAACAACAAAACCCCCATATCCACTTGGTGATAACACAATATAAAATGTAAAAGAAATATAAACACATGAGTTATTACGTTAAACAAAAGGTGCAAATTAATACTTTATACTAGAGCAGCTCGAGCCTACCGACACCCATGGGAGCGAGAGTAGCTGTTGCAGCTTGGAGCCTGAAGAATATTCCGAGGACCGGACGTCGGTGAGTTCCTTATAAATGCGGCCCAGGCCAGCATAGATGGCGTGGATGTCATGGGTAACAATTGACCGGCAATTAAACAAGCAATTAGTGAGTGGTGCTGGGTCTCTGCCCAGACAGCAGGTGTCTTGTCTAGATGTTGAGGCTTCTAAGCATGTATTGTTGTTGTTGATTCCTTATGTTGGAGCATGCAGATATGTTGGTGAATAGGCAGTAAAGGAAACAGGCAGGATCTTCTGCCTAAGTAGGAGATTAACGTAACAGTGCCAAAGAGTAAACAGGCCCCAGACCAGCACAGCAGTAAGTAGTGCTCCCACACAACTGGACACCCTCTAGCTAATGCTTATGGCCTTGGTCACAGATTTGGTCGAAAGTTTGCTGTTGCAAACCACAGAAAATCGAAAGACAATTGAGCACAAGATCAAGGAATTTGAAAAAACTATATCCTCGCCTTCAAGAACACGGGGCAGGAAACACAATCCTAAAAAACAGGTAGAGTCCAGTACTTCTGAAAGCAACCTTGAAGAGTCGGTTTCAAGTACACCAAGATCCTCACCTCCAATTTCAACTTCCATGGTGAGTTCATCTGACTCTGCGGATACCACGGTAATATCAGCAAGTTCCAACCACCTAGAGGATTAAAGATCCTGCAATGGAATGCACAAGGGCTGCACACAAAATTGCAACACTTGCAATGCATAGCAGCAACCAAATGCATAGATCCTGATACTACAGGAGAGCTTGCTTTGAGATGGATTAGAACCTAAAATCTCAGACTGTAGAGGCTTCTTCCTTCCATGGGTCAACGGGCAATCCAGGGGGTGTGCCATCTATGTAAAATGTGACCTGATCTATCATTTAACCATAACCAGCCCACCCGATTGTGGGCCAGGGACAGAGGTGATGGGAGTATGCATTGAGCTAAGACACGACAAACTTGAAGTGTTTAATGTTTAAAGGTCTCCATGTGCTGAAATGGATCTCTGTGTTATTTGGACACACGACCACCTCAAAGACAATAATTTGTGGTGATTTCAATGACCATTATCGATTGGCACTGGGTTTGAGCACAACAAATGAGGCCAGCACTCGCATAGCACATCTACTAGGCCAGCTACCAAAAATCCAAATCTTAAACAAGAACGAACCCACCCACATCCAAGGAGGTAGATTAGATCTTATCTTTGTTTCAGTCTCCCTAAGAGATGAAGCAACATGGTCAGTTGAGTCTACACTCGTAAGTGACCACTATGGGGTCCAAATTGATCTAAAGTTGGATCTACCCTCCCCACCTCCACCAGAAGCCTTGAACTTGGCTTTAGCAAAATGGTACCGATTTCAAAATCTTCTTTCAGAGTGGCATAGAAACTACGATGTTCCCGAAGACATTAATCAGACAGAACAAGATTTTGTCAAAGCGATTCAAAGTGCAGCCAACCACTCGATTCCACTGAAAAAAGTCCACCAGACACCACAAAGATCACTGGTACTATTGCAAATATGCCAAAGAACTTGGACTCAACAGCGCTAGGAAGCTATACGAAAAGCACCCAAGTGACCGCAACAGGACCTTACTTTGTGAGGTCAAGGAACATGTTCATCAAGAGACCAGGATATAATAAAAGAACAAAAGTGTCTGGAATGGTGTTCACATCTGAATGAACACACCTCTCTTAGAGAGATGGGGCAGCAAAATCACAGGGCCAAAGGAAATAAAGCACCTAAGGATCCTCAACAGAAAGTCGAAGTACTGGCAACCAAATTTGTAGAAAGAGCAGCCAGTAATCAGGTTCCACCAGATGTACTAGCAGTGCAGAAAGAATTAGAGGAAGGAAGGTGGCACAGAATCCTTACAGCATGTTCAGAAGTCTGACACTAATATCGCTTTCACACACTGGATGACCTCAATTGGGCTAAGGAAAAC